CTGGAGCACGGCCGACATACTGGAGCGACATGCTGGAGCCGCCCGATTGGCCTGCTGCCCAGCGTCATTCGGCGGTGGATGCGCGCCAGGCTGGACGCGGCGCGGGCGCGGCAGTCCGCCTACGATCGCCCCTTCTTTTACGCTGGCCCCCAGAGGGGCGCAGAGGTGGCCGCGTGGAAGCAGGCCGCCAGGGCGGAGCTGGCGCACTGTACTTCCTTTCTCAGCCACGCCAATGCGATGCTCGACATGGTGAAGGCCTTCGAGCGGGTCTCCCACCACTGGCTTGCGAAGCAGGGCGCGCGGTACAGCTGCCCTATGGCCGCCCTGAGGCTCAGCATCGCCGCATGCCGCCTCGCCCGGTGCATCGCTATTGTTGGCGTCTGCTCGGTGCTGCTGCTGGCCACGCGCGGGATCACAGCCAGGGCCGTGCACGCCACCATCGAGCTCCGGCTTCTCCTCGCCGAGTGGTTAGACGAGACGGTTGCGCTGCATCGGTGCATCGTGATCACGGTCTACGTCGACGACGCGTCCTTCGAGGCATCCGGCTCGGACCGGATGGTCTGCGATACCGTGGTTGGTGCCGTGAGGCACTTCACCGAGCACCTCGTGGAGATCGGCATGGAGGTGAGTCCCACGAAGAACATGGTGCTCGCCTCGCGCCGGGAGTTGGCCTTCCGCATCGTGGACCAGCTACCTGGGCTGAGGCTGAAGGTCGTGGACGACGCCAAGTCGCTCGGGGGCGCCATTTGCTCCGGACGTGTCCGGCACGCCACTCTACTGGCGAAGCGGCTCCGGGCATTCAAAGTGCGGAAGCCCCAGTTCCAAAAGCTGCGCCGCTGGATCGGGGCTCGCAGGACGGCTGCGGTGCTCCGGACAGGTGGCACAGCGGCCCTCGTGCACGGGCAGGCCAACACGGGCGTCTCCAACACCATGCTCCAGTCCCAACGCGTTGCAGTCGCGGCTGCCTCAGTGCTGGGCGCCAGCGGCGAGCTGGACCTCACCCTGATCCTCGCCGACGGCGGCATGGGCGGCAAGGCAGATCCGGCGTTCGCCGCTCACGAGGCCCCCGTCGCCAAGTGGGCCGAGGCTGTGTGGGAAGGCTGGCTGCCTAGGCCTGCCTTGAGCAAACTCGTGTCCGCTGCTCTCGCAGTCCTGGTGGACCGGCCGTCGCCTTGGGCCATGGTGCGAGGCCCCGCCGCAGCTTTCGTGGCGTCGGCCCTGCGGCTCGGCTGGCAGATACTTTCACATGCCGAGGTGCGCACCGACTGGGGCCAGCACATTGATTTCACGAGGGATTCGCCGGCCATGGCCCGGCGTTTTGTGCAGCAGTCTGTCTGGCGCTGGCGGCGGCGACGCGTCGAGCGGCAGCATCCTCACGTCGCCCGCGGGCCTGGAGGGCACGGGCTCTTCGTGCAGCCTATCTTCAAGCTTCTGAACGGGAGGGATGGCGACAACTGGGGCCCCTCTGAAATGGGCGCCTTGCGTTCAGCCTTCGCGAACCGGCGGAGGCTACAAGCGAGGCTGCACCGAGCAGGCCTCGCCAGCACCGCCAACTGCATGTTGTGCGTGCGCGCGGGGTTGTGCGACCCGCAGGCCGATGATCCGAGATTCACTGGGCGTCTGGCGCACCGCGTCCTCACGTGTCCGGCCAGGGAGCCCTACCGGCAGAAAACAGCCCCCGCGTGGATTCAAGAGCTGGTCCGCCAGCACACGGGCCCCGAGGGCACGCTGGCGCTGAGCCCTGCTGACCTAGCCCTGCTCACGCGAGGCGTCGCGCCGTCTCCTGCCTCTGCCTTAGACCCGCCGCCCGAGCAGGAGTCCTTCGAATGGGTGGTCCGGCCAGGCCCGCTGGCCGCGCAGGTTGATGCGTGCGTTGACGGCTCCAGGCTGGACGGGGAGGCTGACCTCCACGACCTGTACGCCCGCCAGTTTTGGGCAATAGCTGCGTACGACGGCAACGTGGCGGCGGCGCATGGCCGCACCCCGCCGTGGGCGGTCGGCATTCACGCCACGGAATTGTGGGGTTTGCTCATGGCTGTCCAGTCGTTTGACCCTGCTTCCTCCTTGAAGGTGGATTGTTCCGCTGTGCAGCTCGGAACGAAGCGGGGCGCGCGCTGGGCCACCGCCCCCTGCCGGACCCTGGCCAGAGCGCGGGGGCCGATCTCGGCGGCTCTTGAGACCGAGCCACACGGGGTGGCGTGGATGCCAGCTCATAACACTGCCACCTGCTACGTCGGCAAGTATATGAGCAACGGCAGGCCCGCGCAGGCCCACGACGTCGCTGGCAACGACCTCGTGGACGATCTGGCGAAGCAGATCGCCCGCCGCGATGCGTTGCCCCGGGCCCAGGTCCAGATGGTCCGCGACGCTGCCGCGCGCCTCGGGGAGGCCGCTCTGTGGATCGCGCGAGCCACCGCGTACGCGAACCGGTGCCCTCTCGGCATCCTGACGCCCGTGGACCCCGGGGCCAAACGGCAGTACGTGAGGGACTCCGAGGCGGAGCGGCCGCGACGCACACGCGGCTGCAAGCGCAAGGCCGCGCCTGCGGGGGGCGCCCGCGAGCTCGGCGACGAGGCGGCGAGGGCCTGGCCGCCGCGCGCCGTGCCGGGCGCCGCCCAGGTCTCGGCTGGCGGCGCGTTCGGCAGGCCGGCAGCCGCCGCGGCGCCTGCGGCTACGGTCTGGCGCCAGGAAAGGGCCAAGAAGGCCAGAGTCGCCGAGCGACTGGCGGCAGCCCGCGGCGAGCAGCTCCTGGCCGGCTGGCTGGCTCGCCGCCCGCCGCAGCCGCAGGCCAGCGAGGCCGCCCCCGCGGCCGACCGCATGGCAGCCTTGCGGGCCCGGATTGCCGCGAAGGAGAGGCGCGCCGAAGCGGCGGCCGTCTCACCAGGGTGCCACACCTGAGCCATGTGGCGCGCTCGTGAATCCAGGCCTAGGCAGCGCCCTCGGTGGGGCCGCAGCGCGCGCTGTCTTTTGCGCCCTTGACCAACAACAAAAGCAGCTCGCTCGTGCAAGTGATGAGTGAATCAGACCGCCATGCTACCACCATGACATTATCCGTAAGGGTTTCGCCCCATTCCGCCGGCCCCCTGTCTCGGATAATGGGAGATGCAAAAGCTAAATCGTAAAGTCTGGACGCCGCTGTGAAGCAGTGTCGGGACCGCTTTGTTTTTTCGACCCTCACCCTACGGATCTGCGTCACGGGTGCCACCGGATTTCAGAAATGTCGCAAATCCTTTCTGTTTTAGGACCCTGGCCCTACGGATCTGCGTGAGGGGTGCCGCCGAATTTCAAACATGTGGCAAATCCCCTTTGTTTTTGGACCCTGACCCAGCCGGTCTGCGTGAGGGGTGCCACCGAATTTCAGAAATGTGGCGGATTTTTTGTGTTGTTGGACCCTGACCCTGCCGATCTGCGTGAGGGGTGCCACCGAATTCCAGACATGTCGCAAAGCCCATGTGTGTTTTAAACACTGATCCCGCCGATCTGCGTGAGGGGTGCCACCGAATTTCAGAAATGTGGCAAAACCCATGTGTTTTAGCGCCCTGTCCCCGCCGATCTGCGTGAGGGGTGCGACCGAATGTTAGCAATGTGGCAAATCCCATGTGTTTTCGGACCCTGATCCCGCCGATCTGTGTGAGGGGTGCCAGCCATTTTCAGAAATGTGACAAATCCCATGTGGTTGTGGACCCTGACCCAGCCGATCTGCGTGAGGGGTGCCACCGAATTTCAGAAATGTGGCGAATCTTTTGTGTTTTTGGACCCTGACCCCGCCGATCTGCGTGAGGGGTGTCAATTTTTACCCACCCCAGCAATTCAGAGCACACGCTCAGGGCGTGGTGTACATGCTCGTTTTGGGCCTCCCCCCCTCGCGCGGTCCATCAACAAGGAACAGTAAGCAGCAATAAGTCAACAAGGAACAGTAAGCAGCAAGAAGCAGAACTGTAACAGTGGAAACTGGAAACTGCAACTGGTACAGGAAACTGCGGACCTTCGCCCTGCAGCCTGGTGGCCCCACAGGGGGGCCGGCGGATTCGCTTGTTTCCACCACGTGCGTAGCTCGGATCAACGCAGGCAGACACGATACGTGGGGGCGGTCATTTGGGAGCGCCGCTCGTGCGGGAACAACAACCAAGTGTGTTCTACAGATGATCCGTGCTTTCTGAACCAAGCCCAATGGCAATCCACGATGGGCCGTTGCTTTGGGAACAGGCGCATCACATTGTTTAGCTCTTCTTCCCGCAGGAGGCTGGGATCCTCGACCCCTCCAGGATTGACGGTTTGAAGCCAGCTTGGGGGACCCGAGAAGAGAGGCTCATAAGTGGCATCAAGAAGGATAATAATACGTGTTCGTTTCAGTACGCCGCCGCCCCACTATTTGGATACAAGATGCGTCACATCCACTGCTGGAAGGCTTCAGAGGGAGCCCATGTGTTTGCCCACCTGGGCATGGAACACGTCGTTCCGCAGCACGGTCGGTCAGGACGTCGTCATACCGTCGGCACCGGGGGATACCAACATCGCGTGGTATGAGTGAGTTCTATGTTGGGTTCGTGTAGTGTTGTCTTTCGCCATATACACTGTGTCCAAGTACTTCCATAACATTTGAGACGTCCTGGTGCGGGTCCAGCATCCCGACGCCGCGCCCTTGCATGATACGGGCAAGGGCGAGTCTCTCGTTATTTTGAATGGCATGCCGTTCCTTTGTCGGCTGCGGCGCCTACGACGACAGAGCGGTACCCCAGTGTGGCGCACCGAAGGACCCAGATGTGAGACACATGTAGCTCATCGGCACAGGATGTTGGAGGGGGAATTCGTACAATTTGGTCCGCGATTTTGCAAGGCGCCGATGGCAATGTGTCGGGCATCAGTTCCTTTTGCTCTCCTCGTTATCCCCCTCCTCCTCTTCCTCCTCACCTTCGTTTCTCCTTCCTTTTCCTCGCTCTTGTCCTCCCGCTTGTTCGCTGGTCGCCTGCCCAGAAACCTCAGCGCCCTGCCCATTGCAGGCCGTTCTCGCTGACGCGATCACCTACAACTCGGCCGTGAGTGCGTGCGAGCGTGCGCGGCAGCGGGAGCCTTAGCAAGACACGATCCGCCGACTTGCTTGGCCTCTGGAGTCATATCACGTGCCCATGAGGTCACCTTCTTCAGCGTTCCTCAAGAAGCGCCGTGACACCACCCCCGCCGACAGCCCCAAATCGACTCTTGCCGCTGGCCAACACGTCGTGCAGAAGGTGCCGCACACCCCAGCGTGGTACGTCGACGTCGCGAGGTTGACCCGTCGGGGGGACCCCCCACGCTTGTTACCAAGCACAGAGTAGGTCCGTCATATCCGTTCGTCTCCCGCCTTATTGTAGCACCCCCTCGTCTCGAGCTCGCAGAAGTGTTCGTCAAGACGGATCCGAGGGACATCTCAGGCCGATCTGAAGGAAGGACTCGGTGGGTGCGGTATCGGGAGTCTGCCCACGCGCACAGGCTTGGTAAGATTTCCAGAGGCTCTGATCCAGACACTGTTGCGTTGCCGTCGTTGTGGAGGGTGGTTCCAGGTGGAAGAGCCGCCTCGACCGACCCCGATCGTTATCCACCAGTGTGCACTATGTCTGTGACGATTCGGCAGGGGTGGAGCGTAGCGTCTGAACAAGCTCGAAGGTTGCCAGAGGTGACCTTGGCCCAGGGGGTCCACTGTGTTTCGCGCCATGCTGGAGCTCCTGGGGCCCTCCAGGCCTCCTCGTGAGGGATGCTCAGGTGGCAATCCAGGCCCCACGGGGTCACCGTGGGCCAGAGTCACCCCTGGCCACGCTCGAGATGCTGCATCACTCTTTGATCCCATGGGCAGCGCTGGCGGGCGCAGGAGCGAGGGTCGGGATCTGCGGGGCGCGCTGGGCGCGGGGCGCACGAGGCGAGTGGAAAAAGCACACGGTGCGGCCGCGGAGGAGGGAGGGAGGAGGAGGCCCGCCCGTCGAGGGTCGACGGGCGAGGGGCGCGCAGGCGTGCGGGTGCTTGAGCATGGGCTGCGCCAGGGAGTCCCGCCGAGCCGTCCCTGACGGCCGCGCGGGGCCAGCCGGGGTGACTGGCGACGATCGGCGGCGGGGCGGCCCCGCGACGGTCATCCCCTGCGGCGGCGTTGGCCCTCGGTCGACGAAGCCGCCCTGCGCGCGCGGGCCACGCGTTGGATCGGCACCACTCAAGCATGACGGCGCATACGATGCTTTCGTCGGCCCCACAATGGCACCGCGCACGCTCAGGGGTCTTGTAGCATGAGCTCCGTGCTGGGCGCCGTTTGGCCGTGCCGCTCGGGAAACGATGCACTGTGATACGCGTGGATTTCATCGATGGGGCCCAGGGAGACAACCAAAGATACACACCTTGAACGGCTCCCTCTATCTTTTCACATCTTCTTGGTCTTTCTCTTCCTCTCCACTTCCCATCTTTCCCAGATCTGCCTGGGCATCGACGTCCACGCTTGTTTGTGTCTGTGCTGTTTCCTTTCCGATCTATGAAGGGGTTCCAGAACCGGCCCGACTTTCGAGGATCGACGGGGTTGGCATCTCTTCCTCAGCGGAAGGCGACGGAAGGGTGGCAGAAGCTCGCGGACGTAAAACGAGGCCGCCTCAGCCAGCAGAAAGCCTGCGGAAGGCCGCCAGAAGTAACAGATGCGCCCCGAATAGATGGCAACATTGCTCGAGTGGGGGACCGACTGCAGAATTGATTCCCAAATTGAATTAGTCCGACGAATCCAAGAAACCTGTATGGAGTATCCGTACAGCTGCCAGCATGTTACTGATTTTCGTCTCGCAGGTCCGGCAAACAAAGTACATTCTGGGGTAAATCAATTCTGCAGTGGATTCCCTACTCGAACTGTTGGGTCCGGGTTTCCGGAACCGTGTCGGGCGTGCGCCTCAACATCGGCGCACAGTGATGGCACATGTGATCGTTTTCTTATTCATTGTTTTGCCGATCGGCGCTGGCCTTCGCACCCCCCCCGCCCCCATGGAGTGGATCTTGGCCGTTCTTGGCGCCTGCTTCGAGCAGGTGGGGTAAGCACGGGGGCCCCGCCTCCCACTGGGATTCCCTCTTGGGAGCACTGTCCCAAACCGTCGCACTAAGCAGAGGTCGGGAGCCAGACCCCCGCACTCCCCCCACTTTCGCGCAGTGTCGAAACGCCGAAAACGAGAGCGTTCACCACGGTCCCACTGGAGGGCGCTCGGCGGTCCGGGCGGCGAACCCCCCTGGGCCCCCAGGCCCCGCGGGTGCAGGCCCTGGGCTGCACGTGCACGACGCCTGCTGACAGCAGGTGCGTGCGGATTCCCAGATCCCGCTCTGCTTTAGCTGCCTCTCTCCTCAAGAGTCCAGTGGCGTGCCCTCGTCCATCCTCTTCCTGGGAGGAGGAAAAGGTACCCATACCTCTATAACCTTCCCTCATGTTCCCCTTTCTGGGGCCTCCTGGAAGGCCCTCGCCGCCACCGCTGGATTCGCTTCGAAAGTCTGGCCAGGGCGCACCCCGGGAGAGGTCCGGGGAGCAGCGGCATTGGTACCTCTTGGCTTCCCCGCTCCGGGGGGCGGGCGGAGACCTGCTCTGCTTCCAGCGCCCACTTCGTGCTGCTGCCCACCTCCTTCGACCGACGGGCAAGAGTGCGGCCCGCGGCCGCAGGGACCGTCGGTACGCGCGGCCGCCGACGGGCGCTTGGGATCGCTCGGACGTGTGATCTCGCTTCCTCGGCGAGGACCGTCGGGGAGCACATCTCGGGCCATCTCGGGAACAAAGTGCACGCCCGACATCGGAAGATGGCCCGGGGAGGGGGCGTCCGAGCGACGGCGAGGGCGGCGCCGTGGGCCTGGCGGCGCAGGCGCGAGGGCGCGAACGCAGACACCGAGAAGCCAGCGCCTCCTCAGCGCGGCCTGTAGAGCATGCGCTCCGTGGGCGTATGGTCGTGGGCTCGGTCCCAACGTTTGGCCCCCCACCCAGGCCTCGCGTTGTGAACACAATCACGCAGGGAGGTTTTGCCGTATTTTCGGCCTCCAGGGGCCTTTGCCGGGCCCCGGGACCATCAAAAAACGACCCAGGATGAAAAGCCGGTCCCAGGGAAGGGGTCTTTGACCCCCGACGTCGTGTTTTTTTACAACGTCGATCTCCTCTAGAGGTCTAGACTCCTTCCCCGGGACCGGTTTCGCATGTCGTTTTTTGAGGTCCCGCGGCCCGGTATACGAGGGCCCCGGATCAACGAAAAACCTCCAGTCGTGATTTTTTTGGCTACTCGAGGCGGTCCAGGGTCCAGACCAGACCTCTGGGGATCGACGTTGCGCCAAACATCACAACGTCGGGGGTCTGGGCACGCCGCCTGTCGCGGGGGGGAACTCGCCCGAGCACGCGGGCCGCTGCTGCCGCACAGGCGCGCAGCGAGCGGCGAGCCGCGCGCTTCAAGAGATCACAAGTTGCCCAGGGCCGCTCTAGCGCGTAATTATACCCATCGGTCGTTGAGAGTAGGTATCCCCAGAGATCCACAATCAAGGCGGAAGTTTTTCTGAGTTTTCGGCCTCTAGGGGCCCTCACCAGCCCCCAGGACCGTCAAAAAACGATTCAAGATGAAAAGCCAGTCCTGGGGACTGGGTCGAGACTTCCGGGGACCCCGCATTCAAAAAAAGCACGACATCGGATCTCTGGGTACCCACCGGTCGTTGAAAGTAGGTTTCTTGGGATTTCTAGATTCCAATATATTGTAAGCGCCTTCCTACTTTAATGATCGAGTGGCTTCATCTTCTCTCTCCTCTTCGAGGGGTCTGCGGAGCCCAATCTACTTCCAACGGCTTCCTACTTCATGTCTCTACCTGCTGCTTCCGACCGGTATGGGTCTCGCCGACGCCCAGACTGCCTCTTGCCGAGGTGGTGGCATGCCGTCTGGCTGCTGGCCGATATGCGGAGGCGGCCCCCGCGACCGACGCCCTTGTCGCCGCCTGGCTTAGTGGGCCCTGGAAACGACAGGGCCGTTGTTTCACCGGTTCCGTTCCGCCGTTTTTTTGTCGGTTCCGTCGCCGTTTTTTCACTGGTCCCGTCGCCGTTGATTTCCGGTTCCGGTTCCAGCTCAAATCCTGGAGCCGTTTTTGTGTGTTGTTTCCAGTCGCCGTTGTTCTTGCCATTTCCATTTTCAAGATTTGTTTTTCGGAAGCAGTGGAAAACCGGCCTTGCCGTTTCCGGGGCCCACTAAGGGAGAGCGCACGCCGCGTCCGATGCCCCCTTCCTCCGCGGGCGACTCGTGTGCACCGCGCCGCATGGATCTGCGCAGGCCTCCCAGATGGGGTTGAAAGATCCCGCCGCATCGCCGATGCATCGGTGATGCGGATCGATGTGGGTACAATTTCTCCTCGCCAGCGTCGCCGATGCACTGCCGACGTCGCCGACGCATCGGCGATGTTGCGCGATGCTCCGACCCCATCTACAGTGAGGCCCATACGACGTAGCACCCTGCTTGCCTCCAGGGTGCCCTGGGTTTCTTGGGGTTCGATGGTTTTGCCATGCAAATCTCACGTTCCCACACCAAAAACCAATGGACGTCCTGGGGTCGCAGGGTTTGGTTTCTTGTGGAAGGTTTCTTGTGGTCTGGCCTCCACTGTACCGTGTCAGAGCGGGGGCCGAATGGAGCCCGAACGTGGCACTGTGCATGGACAGCCTTCCCGTGCCTCCCCCTTCTCGCCGTTCTGGGCCTCGTGGGGGCCAGTTTCGTAGTTGTGGGCCTCATGGAGATTGTTTGATTTATCCTCCGGCGTGTTTCGGCCGCTACCCTGGTCCCCCCTCCCCCTGGGTGACAGTAAACCCTCCCCACATGCACATGCTGATGCTCGCGCGCACAATATGAAGATCTCAGCGCACCCCCGCCCCGACGTGCCCTAAGCCCCCCTCCCAAGCGTCACCGTTGCCTGGGGCCCCACCCTTGACCCTCGACGTCGTGATTTTTTCGCAACGTCGACCCCCAGAGTTCTGAACCACTTCCCTGGAATTTGTTTTTCATCCTGAGTCGGTGCTTGATTGCCCCGAGGCCCGGCAAGGGCCCCCAGAGGCCGAGAACAGCGAACAAAATTCCCGACGTGTTTCTTTCACAACGCGAGGAGGTCTGGGAGCCCCCTTGGGTAACCACCGCAACCAGAAAGAATGAACATCAATCTCTCGGGCCATCGGGCCCGCTTCGGAGTCCTATCCAGAACGCACCAGAGGAGAGGTCCAAGGATCGAAAAAAAACGGCATAAACATAAATACTTGGGGCCCCAGCGCAGATTTCTTGGATCCGCGCTGGAGCCCCCCCGTGGCGCCTCCAGCGCCGCCCCTGGCGCGCTCCGCGCGCCAGTGAGGGGGGCCCGCTGAGTAGTGTGAGCAAGCGCGCACGAATAGTTCGGACGGCATTGTATTCACATGTCCATGGGCATTCGAGAATGATGTCAGTTGGCGTGCGGCCCGGCACCGCCACGGGAGCCCTCGATCGGGGGTGAGGATCTGCGCGTGCGGTGCAGCTTCTCATAGGTCGGGCAAGTCCCTCTACAGGCGGATTTTTGAGGAAAACATAGCAGCAAATATTAAAAAATGATTGCAAAGAATCTAACAATCGTCCCCAGATTGTTTTTACTATTTTTGAGTATTCCTCCTATGGAGGGATGCGCCCGACTTCAAGCTTCTCCCCAGGGGAGGGGGGTCCCCGCAGCACCCGCGACGGAACGATCCGTGTGCCACGAGGGCGTGCACGGGCCACTGAGTCGGAGACTGAGGTCCCATCGGCGTCGGGCCGCTGGCCAGCAGGGCCGCCGGCCACAGGAGCGAAGATCGAGAGCCCGCCGCGCAAGAGGGGGCCGCGAGGTGGCCACCAGCCAATGGATCCGAAGGCTTAAGTCGGGCCCATCCCTCTACTCTGTGTCCCTCAATAGTTCTGGGGCCCCGGACTACAGGTACTCCCCGGACTACAAGCACCCCTCCCCCGGACTACAGGTACCCCCCCCCCGGACTACAGGTACCCCCCCCCCGGACTACAGGTACCCCCCCCCGGACTACAGGTACCCCCCCCCGGACTACAGGTACCCCCCTAGCCCCCGGAACTACAAGCCCCCCCGCGTTCGCTAGGTAGTCTCTGGAAGCCAAAGCGGCCCGCCAAGATGCGTCCGCACATTTCCACTTAGGCGCGCTAAGAAATTCGCCATCGTTGCGCCAGCGGTCGGGGCTGAGCACTCTTGACGGACGAGTGGGCACGGAAATGAGTCTTAAGATAACGACGAACGGAACGATATATCGACAAAGAAACAAAAAAAAATAGCAGGGGACCGGACGAACAAAGAGAGAGAGAGAGAGAGATAGGAAGAGACACACAACAGACACATAATGATTGTCGGAATGATGGGAAGAGAGAAAATCAAGGAGCATAAGTAGGGAAAACGATGGCGGGGGACCGTGAGGTCCCGCGCGCGTAAGTACTAAACACCCGCGTGTGTGGAACCACGCGTGCTTTGAGGCATGACCATATGCCCCCCCCCCCCCCCCCCCGGACTACAAGTAGCCCCATGCGCGCCCCCCCGGACTACAGGTACCTCCCCCCGGACTACAGGTACCCCCCCCCCCGGTTTACAAGTACCCCCCCCGGACTACAGGTACCCCCCCGGACTACAAGTACCCCCCCCCGGACTATAGGTACCCCCCCCGGACTACAGGTACCCCCAGAATTATTGAGGGACACAGAGTACAGAAAGAAAATTCAAAAATAGTCTCAAAAAATATGGGGACGATTTTTACATTTCTTTTTCATATATATATATATATGGTTATAGCTGAGTGCTTGCTGACTATTATTGTTTCCGTCCAGAATCCGCCTGCACGAGGACATGTTCGACCTAGTCGAAGGCCACGAAGCCACCCCACAGGAGGGACGCACGAAGGGGCCGTGGCAGCAAACCCGCCGGCCCTTGTCTCCCGCCTGCGGGCTTCAGGAGGGGAACAAAAACACACGTACACAATTCACCATCCTGGAAAACATAAGAAAATATTGGGATTGGGGCGGAAGAAGAAGACCCCGAAATTATTGCAATCTGTGTGTGTGTGTCTTGGGGCCCCTTCAGCGTTTGTCGTCGTCTGCTTGCTCCTCCCTCTTGTCTCCCTCGTATTCGGCCGGGCAGCACAGGCTGCCTGGAGCACGAGCAGCAGGGCTTCCCCCAGCGGGCGCCCTTCCTGTGGAATGTCCCTCCAGATGTCCAGATGTCCCCTCCTTGTTCTCCCCCTCATCCTCCTCCTTCTCCTCCTCCTCTTCCTCCTCCTCCTTGGCTCCTGTGCCACTGGGTGCCCTCGTGCGTCCCACAAAAACAGGCGGGTAGCAGCCCGTTCGTCACCCCCGCTTGCCCGTAGCAAGCCAGGGGGCAAGAAAATTACACTCTCGTCGCCACGTTGCGTTCCCCTTGCGGTGGCCCACCTGGTACCCCGCCAAGGCTCGGGCGGGGACGCGGGTCGGGCGGCTCCTCGGGGCATCCCCGCCCGTTTTTCCCACAGCCCGGGCCCCCCGCCCGGTGCGCGCGGGGGGGCGGGAGTCGGCCGGTGGAGTGGCGCCCCTCGGCCGGCCTGGGGCGGCACTGAGTGTTTCGCTTTCTGGGCCCTGCAGGGCGGGCGCGGCTCGAAAATGGCCTGGCGCTGCGCCTAAAGGTGGAACTCGCCGCGGCAAAGCCCGCGCGCAGAGCGAGCGCTAGGCTGGCGCGCGAGAGGAGCGCGCGCACGGGCGTGGAGGAACCCGCAGCCGCCGAGGGCGAACGCTGCCCGTTCGGCCGATTCTCTGCCCTTTTCGTGGGCTTATTTTTGTTGTAATCGTTCTTGTGATAGCGGAACTCCTGAGGAACTCCTCCTCCTCCTCCTCTTCCTCCTAGCTGCCGCGAGAGATCGAGAGCGGCGGCCAGCTGGCGACAGGAGCCAGTGTAGCCCTTTTCAGCGAACCCAGCATGCTTAGAGCTGGGCTTGGGGGGGCATGGCGCTGTGTGTTCTGATCTCTGTCTCTCTGATAAGCCTCTCGGGCCAAAAGGCTTCAAGCGCAGACTCCGTGACAGCCATCACGGTGCCCGATCTGTGCACTGGAGGTGGGAGGAGGATGGTAAGAGTTGCAACGTACAACCCACTGGCGGCAGACCACGACAGATTATGTGAAATTAGTGCTGAACTGAGGACCTGGGATTGCGTGCTGGTCTGCGGGACGCAACAAAGGGCAGAAATAGACCATCCCACAACCCAAGTGCAGTTTGCTAATCACTGGGGCATAGAATTTGGAAGGGGAACAGGGTCGAAATATACCAACAGAAGTTGCGGACTAGCTATTCTCTTAGGACACAAATTCCCGCGGTCATCCCTCAAGGAAGTATGCTGTCCCCCTAAGACCTTGCAGGGCCGTGTAGGAGCGGTACGACTACAGACCACTCAGGAGGACTTACTACTTGTGGCAGTGTATTTTGCGCCAGCGACTGAAAAGAGAAGTGAAGAGACGGCCGAAAAGATTTGCACGTGGATGGAGTCATTGTATGACAGACGGGGTGCGAGGACAACATTAATTGTGGGTGGGGATGTCAACAGTGATTTCGGGCTTGCGAGGGACGAGACTGGATACATGAGGAGCACCCAAGGTCGTGAAGTAGGGAGAGAATGGCCACGACCAGAAAATAGTAATGGGAGGCGCTTTCGCCAGTTCTGTCAGGAGAATCAACTGTTTATTGCAACTACGGACGCAAAGCAAGTAAAGCAAACAATTTACGGAGTAAAAGGAGGAGGAGGAAGGATCGACCACTTTGCTATACCAGCGGGGGCAAGGATTTGGTGGAGCACTGCAGCACGCTAAGAAATGCAGGAAAGCGACTGCAAACGATCAGATCACGGTTTCCGAGGGACCACGTGCCGGTAGGTATGCAGCTGCCCCTTGGATT